TATTTCTTATAACAAATATATTTATAATTACAAAATTGAAAGGAAAAAAGAAAAAAAAAAAATCTTTTATATCTTTGTCGCAAGAAATATACAAAATACATAAATTTCATTTTATTTTAAATTAATTGTTTTTTGGAGTGACTCATAAAGTGAAGGGATTTAAAATCCATGATATTCCTTTCAATCCAAACAAGTTCAATGTATTTTTCATTATTATGATTCGCAATCCGTACTTTGAATTCTCGAATCCAAATACGATTTTATATCAATGTTGATTTATTGATGGAACTTTGACCAATCGAGTAGGAATGAACAGTGCTACAGTCTATTTTGTGCTACATCGAGTGAAATATACCATGTATTTTTTTACCAATCAAATGCACACAAACACACACACCCACATTAATGCGTGTAAATGAAATGAACGTTAAAAATCCACCCAATATAATATCCTATTCCATAAAAGGTTAGATCTTTAGTAGATTTTGATTATATTCCATAAAAGTGGACTTTCTTTTTTATTTTATTTTTAATGAAAATCCAACATATGATGGTAAATATTTTGATGATAACATCCTATTCAAAGATAAATAAATACTATTAAATAAATTCAAAAAATAATATTCCAATCAGATCCGAGTAAATCGAATCTGATTTATTACAGACCTAGTAAATTCTTGTTTGACCAATCTCATGCAATCATCAACCAAAACTTTATCCAAATGGTAGTAAAAAAAAACATCACACGTGTATTTTGTGACCAACAAAAAGTAGATTCTTTCGGTACCAAAAAGAAAAAACGTAACAGATAACGACGAATTAATCAGTGTCCACGTGTCCCATATCAGATATACTGAATTTAATAATAAATTAATTAAATAAATAAATAGAATTAAATTCTTATCTCCACAAATTTCAGAAACCTAAAAAAGAAAAAAATTCTCAAGCCCTATAAATAATCATTACCCATTGTCATATATTTTATCCACCATTCCTTAGTTTTGAACTGTCAGTGTGTGTACTGTGTGTGAGCCGACTATTATATATATATAATATATATATTATTATTAATTATTATGCAGACGTCACTTATGACATCATCAAGGCTAGCATTTTTGCTGGTGATTACAATTTGTAGTTGTAATTATGCTTCTGTTGAAAGTGTGAGCAGACGCAGTTTGTTAGGCAATGGCCTTGCCTCCACTCCTCAAATGGGGTAATTATATTTCATTTTTTATTTATATATGTATATAAATATATGTTTTTCACTAATTTTATCATATGGGTTTTTTTAATATAAATATATTATGTGTGTTTTAATAATTTAATCATAAGGGTTTGGTTTTTTTTTTTTTTTTTTAGTTTTTATGTTAGTGTTCTTGATTTCTTGAATTGTTCTTCTTGATCTGTTTATCTTACAAAGTTAATTAAAAGAGAACAATATTGATTTATTTATAAACCATTTATTTATTAATATGTATATACATTCTTTTATTTTTTTTTTTCAAGGTGGAGTAGTTGGAATCATTTCGGTTGTTCGATTGACGAAGAAATGATTAGAGAAACAGGTAAATCTATTTTCTTTTCATTCCATGAATTAATTTCAAATATAAAAAAAATATATTTATATATGTATATATAATTCATCAAGTGTTGTATTAAATCTAAATATGAACTTATTTTGTTTTTATCAGCTGATGCTCTGGTATCAACCGGCCTCTATAAGCACGGTTATAAATACGTAAACATCGGTATGTCCTATAAGCACGGTTATAAATTCGAGTTCATTAAGCGTAGTGCATTGCGCTATTAAACGATTGCTAATTTCTTCGGTTTTTTTTTTAATTAATATTAGATGATTGCTGGGCTGAACTCTCCCGTGATGATGAGGTTCGTTATTGATGATATAATTATTCGTTTTATCGGGTTTTTTTTTTGTGGTTTGTTATTTACTAGTAATGTGGATCGATTTTCAGGGTAAGTTAGTTCCGAAAAAATCGACGTTTCCGTCTGGTATGAAGGCTTTGGCTGATTATGTTCACAGCAAGGGACTTAAGCTGGGAATATATTCAGATGCTGGGTAATAAAAAAAAAAAATGAATTTACTATATTAAGTATATTTGTCGAATATATATACACATATAGTATTTTATTGCTAAATCGAGCACTTAAATCGCCATTGCAGATATTTGACCTGTAGCAAGAAAATGCCTGGTTCATTGGGATTCGAGGAACTAGACGCGAAAACCTTTGCCGAATGGGTAAAAAAATCTTACATTGTTATTATTTGTTAATTGGTATATATCTTAATAGGATTTCATGATCTTACGAGGAAGTTAAAAGAACTCAATGTCAATTTTTTTGTTTTTTATTTGGCAGGGCATAGATTATCTTAAGTACGATAACTGTAACACCGATGGATCAAAGCCAACCGCTCGGTAATAAATCTCTTCGTTAGAGAAATTTGGTATAAACACGGCTACCATTTTCGTCACATTCTTCTAATTTTTTTTTCCTCGATTTGCAGATATCCAGTGATGACGAGAGCTCTGATGAAGGCCGGCCGACCCATCTTTTTCTCACTCTGCGAATGGTGATCACTTGTTCCCTTGTAAAATTATATATAAATTTCAAGATTTTGTAGGGGTAATTTAGTAATTTTCTGAAACGGATACTTGATATAGTAATTGTTGTTCTTATATAAAAGCCTCGATTTATTACTGGTTTTAAGCTACAAAATAGTTAGAGAAGGTCATCGTTTACTACTACAGTTTGTTTATGCAAAATCTTCGTGCTCGTGATTTTTGAAACAGGGGAGATTTGCACCCGGCTTTGTGGGGTTCTACCGTCGGAAACAGTTGGAGAACAACAAACGATATTGCTGATAATTGGGATAGGTAATATTAATCATCTCTTTTTCAATATTATTTGAACCTCGGTTTTTTTTTTCTTCTTCTAATCCAAAATCTTCGTTTTTTGAATTTTTCGAATCTCCATTAGCATGATATCCAGAGCAGACGAGAACGAAGTTTACGCAGAATATGCAAGGCCTGGTGGCTGGAATGGTTAGTATTTATAATTTAAATAATAATATATACAATATAAGGTTTTAAACTTTTCATTAGCTCGATTTTGTTCTTATTGCAAAATGGTTGATTTTCGATAGATCCCGATATGCTCGAGATTGGCAATGGAGGAATGACGAAAGATGAATACATTATCCATTTTAGTTTATGGGCAATTTCAAAGGTTCTTATTACCGAACATAGAACAATTTATTTATAGAGTTATTAAAAATATGTTTTTCTTACGCTAGTAGCTATGTTAACCTCAGGCTCCTCTCATCATCGGTAACGATGTGAGAAATACAAGCAAAGAAACAATGGAGATTATAGCGAATAAGGAAGTTATAGCGGTTAACCAGGGTAACGATAAAAAATCGTCGAATTATAATTACTCTTTATAGAGTCTCTTTTTCACTTGTCCTGATTTTACTGGTTTATCTTGGACAGACAAATTGGGTATTCAAGCTAAGAAGGTTCGAATGGAGGGTAATCTTGAGGTAATTAATTAATTAATAATCCTGTTTTACGGTAAATTAATATTGACGTGATATTCAATTCTAGGTTTCGTGTTGAAAACTAACATGTGTTTGCTTTTTTAATATAGGTGTGGGCGGGCCCACTTTCGGGCTACAGAGTTGCACTATTGCTGCTTAACCGAGGTCCTGATCGTACCCCCATGACCGGTTACTGGGATGATATCGGTATCCCTCCAAGCAGTACTGTAATTGCAAGAGACCTGTGGAAGGTACACATATACATATACATATAGAAAATATATATATTGGTTTTTACGAGTACCCTTATTTCCTCGTATTTGAATTAGCAATAGACATGGAATATTGATGTTTTATGTTTTGTTTGTTATGTTGGCAGCACAAGACTCTGAAGGAAAGTTTTGTAGGGAATTTGACAGAAACAGTGGATCCCCATTCATGCAAGATGTATATATTGAAGCCAATTGCTTGAGGAATTAATTTCATAGTATTTTTCGTTAAATCAGAAAGAAGAGAGAAAAACTTCATTTTAGAACTATCAGTTTCCGAGTGAATAAAGCTCGAGCGGGGAGAAATAAAATATTTCATGTGGACGTCGAGAACATTATATTTTTTTTTATTGAAAAGCAGTATTTGAGACTGATGTTTAAATTATCAATGTTCGGTACTATCGCTATTACGAGAATTAATACAAGTTCTTCATTATCGATTATTTGCAACTATTATAGATCCAAATGGGAAAATGTTTCGTCACCTTGTTCGTATTCCTCGTCCGGTAAATATGATTCATGGTGAGTGTTGTCTTCAAAAAGAACGGGAGCTTCCCTATTTCCCCAAGAAATCCTGTCATTTTTTGCCACCACGGAAATTATCTTATCCTTGATGCAATCCTCAAGAACGTTATTTTTGTTTTCTTGCGACTGCAGTCCGAGAAGAGAAAAGCATTCTGTTTGGAAATTCGAGTCGTGCGAAGTCATGATCAAAGCCGAAATGGTTTTGGCAAGATCAGGTGCGTAACTGCAGATCTGCAAATAGAACGATAAAAACCTCAACTTCCGGCAAAAAAAACATCGTTGCTCATTGTCCATTTAGAAAGAAGAATGTATATTAGGCAGCGTAATAGAAGACAGAAAGTATGATCAAATAACCCCGGAAGTATATTGATTGGTAGTCATATATTAAAGCTGCAGCTAGAGTATAATCGTTGTACCTTGACTGCACGCTCACTGAGTAAGACTCCTGCATTACTTTTCTTCAGTGCCGTCAATGCAAGCTTGACGGCTTTTCTGGTAAGAGATCTGTCGAGTTGATTGTTCTGTGAGCAAAGCGGAATCATTGGCCTGGGCAGAAAGTTAAGGAACAAAAAAGACAAGCACTGTATATTGACCAAGATTCCATGGCTCTATTACGTATGTACAAACATCACGGTGGGGTGATGCATATTGTCTTTGACAAAATTAAGGATATTGTTTATGATATCTGTGGAGAACAATGTCAATGTGTGAGCGTGGTGGTAAATTCTCCCACTCTAATAATGTGACGCCATCCTGCTCGCCTACACTCTTTAGAACCAGCCCGAATTTCTTCCATTCAATGCTGATCAGTGCATCGATAGATGATTGTGACATTGAGCAGGGTGAGAAATCTCTGAAGTACAAAACCTAGATTCATAAATAAAAAGAGTAATTAAAGGTAAACCCAAAGGGTCCTTTTGTATGTAGAAAATATTTTATCCTCTTAGATTAGACCATATAAAAGTTTAGAACATGGTAGAAGAAAGCTTAACAAGATGCAAGCCTTGGAAAATATTCAGGACAAGGTTTCTAATTCTTCCGGGAAACTGGAAAGAGAGACAATTTTACTAGGATGGGGTGTAGCAATAAGCTCAAGACGTGTGTCTATGGCAAAATAATTCTTGGTCAATAATTTAGAGATGATATCTAAACAACAACAAAAATTCATACTGGCATAGCTACCAAATGAATTTCCAGGTCAAAATGTCGGAAGTTTTACTGGTGAAGTTAGTATACGACTATATGTTGATACATTGTGGCAAAACTGAATGTCGTAATATAATTGCAAATTTTCAAAAAGAATCATTGCTTGCTACATATGACAGTTCACATATCCAGAACAAACCTCTGTTCTTGTACCGTAATTTCTGAAGCAGGAGGATAGATCTGACGTAGGTATTTCGCTAATGATGATTACAACTTCCATCGCCTGCCTGCCACTTTGTCCGTTTGCTCGACTACAAGCTACCCCAGTACCAACTTTGAGATTCTTTCTGGAACCCATCTCAAGATAAAATTCAAGTTACAAATTCGTATCGAGTGATATATTTGAAACCGCTTTACAGATATTTTCACAATCAACAACTGAGGGCCATCAAAAGAAAATAATAAAATACATGAATAAATAGTGACACTTGAATGAGCTATTAAATATAAACCTCAAGATGGAAAGATTCGATAAACTGAATTTTGAAATATTCAAAGAGTCGAACATCAACATTTCCTCAGTATCTAAAGATCTTCGTCAGTTGGCCAATGCGCAAAAATATCGATTTATAAATTAGAAGAAAACTGAAGATAAGTATTAGAACATACCCAGTCGAGAAGCAAGAGTGGCAAGTTTCAACCAATCTGTTTCCGTGCTTGGAAACATAGTCTTCAAGTCCCAACTTCAGGTAGTCAATATTTGCTAAATGCATAGGTATGGTGCTGCATTCATTATGCAGAACAATATTTTCAGATTGTGATGTTACGCCACCACTTTCAACCGATAGTTCCACTGCAATTTTCTGGAGAGTACATAAATTATCAATAAGTCAGAAGTTAACCTAGCAGCAGAGTGACTGCATAACTAAGACTATGATTCGCACTGTTGTGCAGAAAAGGTCTACGTTTGATTTTTTCTTTGAAATAGTTTTTTAAAGATTCTATTGAATAGACTCCATCTTAAATAATATTATTAATGATGAGAACAATGATTACAGAATATATAAAAATCAATAGAGAATCTTAAAAGCTGGTTCAAACTTACAGGCGCTTTCAGAAGAAGCATCTGCAAAACAAATAAGGAAATAAAATTGCATATCAGCAATAAAGTATTTTGGTTAGCCTCCCACACACAGTAGATCTGGAAAATGGATACTCGATTCAGTCACTCGAACTATATAGATGAGGAATCCAACCTTCCGAATAAAGACGGACATCATTGTGACTAGGCCACCAACTTCTTCACAAATTGACAATGATACTTCAGTTCCACTGAAAAATAATAAAAAGATATTACAAATTGCCAGAACCTGGTCCCACAGCAGTTTCTGTGTTAGAGACAGGAGGGACGAAATTACCTAAATTTTGCACCATTCTTTGTTGCAGATGGTAGAGTCACCAGTCTTTTAGAGGAGACAACTTCTTTCAAGTCATATTTCATATGATGTATTTCTTTATCAGAGGTGCCTTCAGTGAGAAGACGTGATTTTATTAAGGATGGAACTAACATGAAGAATAGCTACGAGGCTCCGTTCTTGCTTTATTCACTTAATGACTTTTAGCAGTATTACCACCCTGATGGTTTAGAGTGGAAGACATGCATAACTAATAAAATTCACCATGCGTACAATATATGTTCGATATTATATCAACAACTGCGTATTGGTCCTCCTAATTTGCCTTAATTACTACTGAAGTTTTTTTTTTCCCAAGGAGGTATTTATTTTAATTCTACACACAAGTACCTATATTCTCTTATCTAATAAATTCTAATTCTTAACCACTGATTTTCCCTCCTTAACATCCTAATTCATCATAGCTAAGGCATTTCTGTAGTTACAAATGTTGCCTAAGGTTTCAATCAAAGACCAATATTACTAAGACAGAATACATATGCCATCAACTCTGCCACAAGTCCAACTCCATCATTGTGAAATATGTTCAACACTTATTACCAACCATTAATGCCAGGTCTTTACTTCTCAATTAGCTTACACTATGTTCCATCATACTGAAGCTTTGATAAGCATATAATGCACTCATCTATTAAACGAAAGAAAACTATTTTGAAATTGAACTTACTTGTGGTAGCAATGCAAAGAACTCCATCTGCAATCAGTGACACAACTTGTTAAAAAATTATTATTGGAACAAAATGGTGAAATACCGCCGCAAATTAGATCAGGAATAGTAAATAAATCCATATGAGTTGGGAGCAGTGGAGATGATTCATTGGAAGACCGTTACATATATAGGACAGTATATAATACCATTAACGAGCACATCAAAGATCAGCCGCCCTTTTTTTTCTATTACCAATCCAATCGAGAAAAGGATAAATAATTGAAAGCAAATACCAAAGGAAGCAGCGAAATGTAGTTAGATCACCATAGATACTCAAATTTACTTAGATGAGATGCAGTGGTCAAACATCCCGAAATGCATGAATAAACTAAAAGATGATCATAGAGTTTTATAGTAAACAGGTAATCATGAAACTAAAGATAAACAAAAAAGAAGTATAATAAACCACTAATACAGGCAAAATAACAAAGTTCTTGCTGAACATGATGAACCAGTAAATGACAAGAGTTGAATGTAATTAAATAGGACCTGCAACGATAAATAATGTGCACAACAGCTCCGATTAGGAGAAAGTTCTTGTTGAACACGATGAACCAGTAATTTAGCAATATCTTTACTTACCCCATTTACCATCCAAAATTGGGTTGTTCTGGTACTTCAATTGCTGAAATTCCTCCAAAGTGCTTCCAATGCCTGTATCCGAAACTGTTGAAGAAAAAAAAATATGCATAAAACATCCAGAAAATTAAGTTATTAACTTTTCAATTATTGTCACTAATCACTCTTCAATGAGTCCTGCAACTCTATTATATATTCGTCCCGTTCAATATTTCGTAAAACTCTGATCAAACTTCTTCGCAGCCCAACTATTATAGTCACACGAAAATGATCTATTTCTATTTCTACTAACGGCATAAACTACATATATTAGCCAAATCAAGCTACGAATTATTATTCCAGAAATACACTTCTACAAATCATAGATTAATACGGTGAAAATTAGATTTTAACGAATCTAGAAATATGGAGAAAATTTAAACCCTTAACATAACTTATTTACTGAAACACATTACAAACACGGATTCGTGATTGTGTATTGCACAGCCACAGAGAATACGCAAACCTAATTATTCGAAATTACAAAAATCCGATTCATAAATAGATGTGCCATGTATACCTGAGATTCGAACGAGAGGAGGCGCGGGTTTGAGAGAAACCGATAGTCTGCAGAGTTCGTCTATGATGCGGCATCTCCGAAACGCGCAGGAAATTAACTGAGGTAAAAGGAAAGTGAAATCACATCAGACGAATTGTCGAGCTGTAAATTTCGTAATCGGACGTAATTGACAGCTTACAACTCACGAATTTACACAGATCTTCCACAGAATTTACTTCCATTTGGAGAGAGAGAGAGAGAGAGAGAGAGAGAGAGAGAGAGAGAGAGGGGTTTCCCGCGTAAACTGCTGGTGAAATAAGAGTAAACTGCAAAAACTACCCCTGTGTAATCTCGAAATAGCAAAAACCCCCCTGTGATAAATAAACTAGCAAAAACCCCCCTGTGAAATTATTTAAATAGCAAAAACCCCCCTATGGAACTATTTGAGGGTTGACTTGATATAAAAAGACACAAATACCCCTGGAGTCTTGCAATTAATAAATTATTATATTTTATAAATATTTTAATTATTTTATTTAAAAAATAATCAATTTAGTTGTTTACTTTTTTTTTTTTAATTTCTAAACAAATAAATTAAAAAGAATAAATATACATATAATATGTATATATATAAATACATTTTGAGGGACAATTTTGTCATTTCAAGTCTAAAAAATCAGCTAGGGGGGATTTTGCCTTTGACTAAATTTCACAGGGGGGTTTTTGCTAATTTATTTATCACAGGGGGGTTTTTGCTATTTCGAAATAACACAGGGGTAGTATTTGCAATTTACTCGGTGAAATAAAGCAGATGACTGAGAGTTTCAAAAAACATTCACATATTTAACCGTGTGTATAACCGTCGAAATACTAAGAGGTTTATTTGATACGACATTTGGTTAAATACACCGGGTAATTATTAATCGTTGATTTATATACAACTAGCAATTCTCTTTGTGCGATGCACGAATAAGAATTTTGCTAGCGAATTTATATACAACTAGCAATTCTCCCCATGCTATGCACGGATTAGAATTTTGCTAGCGAATTTGTAAATCTGATTTGCGATGAAGGTCATTAGAGAAAAAAAGTTGGAAAATAGGAGATGAAAAAATACTACTAAATTAATATTAAAAAAAATTACAAATATGCCATTAGGATTTCTTACTTTCATATATAAGATCACATACACTCATATTGTATGTGTGTTTAGTGGATAATTATTTAACCATATCAATAGTTATAAATTGTCCGATGTAGCATCTTAGTGACCCATTCTCTAGCTCGCTCTCTCTCTCTCTCTCTCGTAGGAACACGTTTTTGGAGAATGTGTTTTACTGAAACAATATTGAAAAACATTTTGAAGAAAATAAATAATAAATATTATTGAAATCAAGTTCAGTCGGAACACCTCTTTATAAGTAGTAACGTTTTTTTAAGTGGAAATGAAGTGTATTTGCAATAAAATTACACAGATGCAGTACCCAAAAGAGATGAACGAGCTAAAAACATTACTTCTAATGGGGAATTTTAATTCATTTATTTGTATCATATAATGTTATCTTTAGGCATCAATTTCTGAAAATAATCAAAAAATTCTGAAAAAATATCCAAAAGTTATAAAAAAATCAGAATTTTTCGAAAAGGCTAACTCCGATCTCTTAGTTCCAATTTTACCCCTAGCTTTTTTCCCATCCGTCTCCGATAATTAAGGAAACGATGACCTGAGAAAGTATCCAACAAAAAGCAGTATATAATGGATAAGAAAATATTCTTAGTGGTAAGTGGTGGTACAACAAATGTTGCCAATATAGCCAACTTCTGACATCTCCAAACACTCTTGCATTACATCAAAGGCTTAACTCACCCTAGGCTATCAAAGTTTCAACTACTGGAGAGTAGTAGCTCTTCCCGTAACATGCCGACACTTTCAATGTTCGGAAAAGATAGAACCAACTACATAAAACTTTAGACCGAAATCAAGATTGTACAAAACCTCACTAAACTATGAGACTCTCGTCCCAAAACAGAATCATCAACTTCACTCAACAAATAACAAGTCGATATTTCGAGTTAAGTAAAAAACCAGTGAGACGGATCCGCATCCACCGACCAAGCAACTGTTGAATGGCAGTAAGTAAGCAGGTTGTCCGTCGGCTAAGGTTTTTTCTTTTTAAGTTAAAGATAAAGAATCGGTCAGTATTTCCATTGAGCATGAATTTACACAGTTTCTGCCACCACTTTGAAGCGCGTAGTTCCATAATCTGCAGTCCCTTAAAAGCAATATGACATAGTCATGATCCAGTGTATATAGTTCTTGTATATTACTGTTACTCATGAAACTTCTTGAAGTGCTAAATTCAGCTCATGTGCAGACTTGGCAATCGAGCCTCCTTTTCTGCATATGAAATTAAGTTGACTGAATTAGCGATTTGCTCAACGAGCTGAAGTAGAGAATTTTTCATATGAAATATTGGTGCATACCTGGAAAGGTGGGGCAGGGAGCGTTTTACTTTCTCAAGTTCCGTATAGCAAAGATTGCAGCGCTCGAGCCTTGAGACAACAGAGAGTGAAAGCAGATCTTCCATAATTAGACGATTTGACGAAACAATGATAATGGAAATAACAATAGTAGTTGTAATAATAGTTGCAAGTATAATTGCTGACAAGCATAATCAAGGGAAGAAACAACCGAACCTTTGCTCCGCCTCAATGTCTACACCGACAGATGATGGCGCAGATAATGAAGAATATATTACAGAGCCAAATACTCGCACAAGTTTTAGCAGCATATCCAGTGCGATATCTTGATGCCTGCGTATAAAAAACTAATTAGTTCATTAGATTTAACAAGATCAACTGAAGTTATCACAGCTTTTTGAACCACTAAACAAAACGACAACCGCGTGAAAGATAACATCACCAAGAAATGTCACCGATAATTCATCTTGTAAATCAAACAAATGCCCAGCTCACCAACTAACTGATTCTAAGAGACAAAGGGCTTGCTAGCTCATACCTTACGGGCCTATGGCTTATGCAGTACAGAATATTTTATTCATAGCAAACAGTTAGCAACAAAACTCGTAAAGAATTCGTACAGATACTCGGTACAAAAGGTATGATGCCACATCTAGTAAATTTTTGATGAAATGCAAAGATTTTTCTTCCTTAGTAACTACTTTATCTTCAATCCCAATCAGTCAGAAAAAAGTCCTGTTCTTCGTATAGCTAGAATGATTTTGGGTCTGCAGAAATTTCATCCAAATATTTTATTATCTTTCGGCCAAGTGTATCCATTTTGTGAAACAGGCAAAAGGGAAAAGATCTTAAAAAGGCTAATTGGGCCATATTGTTCTTGCATAATACATTCAGCTTTTTATTATTTCAGTATTTTCACACACACACACACACGCACAAAAGATCCTGCTTTTGTTACAGATTGGTTGAGGAGCCTCTGAAGACGAAGAGGATGCAGAATCAGAAGTGCTAAAATATCAAGTAGATAGTCTACTTACCTATCCATATCACTTTCTATAAGTCCTGATAGGAGTGGCAAAAGACAAGAACAAATATCTAACGTGACCATATCAGTTTTTTCTGCCAAAAGGCACATCACGTCAGCAAGCACCTGAAGAATGAAGGAAAAGAACATGATTACTTCATAATTAACTGGGTAATGTGAACTTCTCATTACAAGTTTGAGTTTATACTTCTTCACCCCCATTCTGGAATTAAGAAGAGTACACTCACACTATGATCGCCCATTTTGTTGATTGCACCAAGGGCCCCTTTGATATCATGCCTTTGCCAGTAGTTGAGGACTACCTGAAGAAAAAAGAAACAAAAAAAAAGAGCAACAATATTTTAAAACTATTATATTCTGCTCTTACTAAACTACAAGCAGCACAAGGTTTTACACAGACGTTACAATCGAGAGTCTTTGAAAGGTGAAACAAATGCAGAATACTAGAAAAACGTGAATTTGAGTAGTTTCGAAATAAAATAGTTTAAACTTTAAACAGAACCTGAACCAAGATTTTTATGAAAAATCAAGGGAACCAAAAGAGAATTTCTAAAATAAACTCACATCTGTAATTTTGCTTAATTGACCCCACAAAGCTGTCACTAAATGTATACATTTTCTCTATTTTTTCTTTCCTAGACAATCACAAAACACTTGGTTTGACACTTTTCCCATAGATATCATCTAAACAACTACAATGATCTTTTATAGAACTATTGGAGTACCTCATTCGACACAATTGACTGCACTAAGTGGTATACCACGGCCTTTGATCATCATACGAAAGCATTTACCAGAAGTACCCAGAACAGATACAACTTTTACATGAGTATGGATTTACCACTACCAGACTGTGAAAGACGTTCGTTATAGCATATATAAAGGAATCAGAACAACTACCACTCGGACAGTGCAGGGAAATGCAGCAGAATGATGTGGATTGTGACTCCAAGAATAATATAATATGCAATGAAATACCTGTAGTTTGCTTAAACGAGAATACATTGAGCCAACAAATTGATCATGCAGTTCCATCAAGTCAGCAATAGTATCTTCATCACTAGCAGAGACTGACTCGTTTTCATCAGTTGAAGAAAAGATTCTCTGTTATGATAGATATGAATAAAAAACACTTGAGTTATTTATATATAATATGGATCGTACGGACAAGCATATAAATGTAATTTAAATATAGAGATACAAGTAAAATGTGATGAAATTGACTGGTTTAAACAAAGTTAAAGTAAAGATCAAATATTTTGGAGAATGTACGTGGAAGTTAAGTTTCTCCAAAAAAAGGTTCAGCGAGTACTCACAGCAGTTGATTTCCCAGAAACATTGCTTGAAGCAAGACGTTGCCGGTAAGGACTTCTGCGTTTCTGTTCCCAGGTTGAGACAATTGAATGTGTTCTACCTAATGTAATTAACAAGAATGTCCATAAGCAACAGAAACCATATATTTAAAAGTGTAGTATCAAATTGATTAAGCAAATTACCCACTTGACAATGTAGTTATACCTCCTTTTTGACCTTCTTCATGAGATGTATCCATATGCATGTTATTCCCGCGAAATTCATCTATGCACAAAAGAAAATTGGTTAACTTAAGACAGCACAAAATATCACGTTGTCACATCCCATGTTTGCATATGCATTAGCTGACTTACGAGTTCAAATTGCTATTGGTATCATAAACTTGAAGAGTAAATCAGGTGGAAGAAAGTCACTACGGGTATAAAAGACACTAGCCCAGTATATTCAACTATAATATTATCAGCTAATAGAAAAATTCCAGCAGATCACAAAGAAAACACGATAGGGCTTTTCACTGTACTATTGACGGAATGGAAGGGCGGCCTAGAATTCAAGTTTTTAGTGTGTCTTTATTCTTTCCAGCTGCGGTTTCTCACTCGTTATCAACCTCAAGGAACCCATCACTCTTCCAATTACCTTGCAGTTTTCATCTTTTTTACTTTGTATAGGTTCTTTATCTGGTGTATTTCAATAATCTAAACAGATCAAGTGTGTCTGAACAGTGCATAATCCATACGACCAGGGCACCTTTACCTTACAGTATCATGCACTCTGCAACATGCAGGTTTTGAAGCGATCAGCATGGATGTTCGACTACCAAGAGTTTAAAGGTAAAAAGAAAGGCAAGCATGAAAAAAAAAAAAAAAAAAAGATACATCCAGAATGGTGGTAAGTGAGGATAGACGAGAAGAAAGAACTAAGTCAGCAGGAAAACTTCAATGCCAGTGATTTCAGTTTGCAGTAAATAGGCAATGTTTGTGTGGTGTGTGTACAGTAGGAGGATGAAAATGAAGAGACCACAAATTAATATGATTCTCTAATTTTCCATATGTTCAAGAAAAATAGGATAGCAACAGTTACTGCATTGTCTTCCCGAGTGCCAGAAAAGTAAATGAACACAGCACCTTTAGCAGGAGCATCATATATTGCAGGGAAAATAGCAGTTGTAATAACTGCAAGAAAACAAGGCCTCAAGGTATTTTCCTTTTCCACTTGCTTCCCTCTTCATCATTGATGGTATTCGATGATAATCTAGGAGAAACTTTTCCATATCTACTATACTAATAAATTCGAAGCAACTAAAGAAGGGGATATATCTACGCCAGCAAAAGCAGATGCAGCATGATTTTTAATTTTCGACAGTTGACATAAATTCAAGCCAGATTCATCTCTATTTTTCTTCCATCAGATCATAAATACCATTCACAAAGTTATAATATCAAAGTATAGAAATTTCACTACAATTGTTCTTGTGCTGCACTCGTGGATCGCCCAAAAGTTGCAAGCATAACTTTAAGAACATAAATCGCCCACTTTTTCCTCTCAACCCCCACTGACACAGTAGAAACCATCAAGATAGAAAACTTTGTCCATACCATAAAGAAGGTGCATAAAAATCCTAGCAATAGGACCACAAGTGATGCACAAAACAGTGAATTTGCACTCAGACAAGCATGCACCAAACAGTTGTAAAGGAGATAATAAATGTGAGAGAACCATATTTTGATGAAGAAATACATACAACTTTCGTGTTGGTGTCTGCCAAATGCGTCAGTAGTTGCATTTGTATCAACTTTTCTTGGGATCATAGGCTTGTCATCTTTGATTTTTCTCTCAGCTGCAGCTACTACACTGATGGAGCTCTTAACTGAAGTACCAAAACTCCTATCTGAGACACTTAAATCCATGGTTTTCGGGAGCTCGTTATCAGACTGAGAAGAAATATTCCGGCCTTCCATATCCTCTCTGGTATTGATAAATTTTCGATGATCAGATTTGGACTGCAAAGGTGGAGGTACGGTTTTTACAGGAACATCATCTTTTCTTGATTCTGCAGCTTGCTCTAGTCTTGTATTATTTCTAGGCACAACCACTGGCATTACATCAGATCTGTTGAATAATATACTCGCTGCTGATTGGACCTTTGTAGACTGCCGCTTTGGGTTTGTGGCATTGACAACTGCTGATGGATTGTTTTGAGTTGTTTTTGAAACAACATTAAAATTTGACCTTTGAGGAGTGCTCGGGGTGCTGACAGCAGCTTCAGTAGCATGAAGAAGAAAAAAATTAAATAGAACTTCTAGAATAAGAACTGGAGAAGGAAAAACTATGGGGAAAGGGACGCCCAACAAAATCTGTTAATGGGGAGTTGGAGATGGAGTAGAAAAAGTACTAATTTAACTTCAAAGTCAAACGATGAAACAATATAAAGAATAGCTTACATATAACTGATTTGGAATCTTTATTAAGATCTGTATTCTGCTGGACAGAGATCCTCGTGAAAGATCTAGTTTCCTTCGCAGAATCAGAATTATGTGAAATGGAAAGCCTACCCAAATTGGCCTTTACGTTGTCCTCTGTCAGTACAGTTGAACCCCCCGAATTAGATTTTGGTTCACAATCACCATTTAACCGAGCAGTACTTCCCATTGCATATGGTTCAATACGCTGGCAACATTACAATGTAGCAGAACATTCATGAGTTAAAAATGTTGAACAGAAAAAGTAATTTCATGAAGCTAAGATAATGTGTTATACCGATATGTCTACGACCCATACTCCTACACAACTCTGATTATAAGAACATCCTAGAAGCTTCCCTTCATGAACATTCATATCTGATAGCCTGGACCAACCCACATCAACAGTATCATGACTTCTGATGGGTTCCCATGAGAAAACCTGTAACAATATAAAAGAAACAAAATCAGATAAACCCCATGGTGGTTTAATATATTAATTAAGCAATGACTTCAACATATAGAGCCTACTTTCAAGTTCTCATGCAAGCCACAAAGCAGGGTTCTCCCATCAGGGTTAAAGGTCATGCAGCGCACTCCTGTAGACTGGATTTGAAACAATTCAGCAATAGTTACTCAAAACTCAAGTAACAACTGTCTAGCAGTTTCAAGGTCAAGTAAAAAGAGAATGCAACCGCCAGGAAAAATACATGCAGCAAATAATAATAGAAAGATATTTCTCCCAAAAAAAAGAAATGGAAAAGGATGATTAATGACATAAATTAGCAAAACCTCGGGTGCGGTTGAACCAATTAGCTCAAAAGTTTCAAGATCCCAGAATTTAACAGTTCTGTCAGCCGATCCTGACAAATAATTAAAAAAAAATTATAATTAACTGCTTATACTTGGTTCAAAAAGAGAAAAGCTCAAACAAATATAAACAACAGCTCAAACAACATCTTTCATCATGGTGCATAAGGGTAAAATTATAAGTAACTGCTTATACTTAGTCCAAAACAAGAAAAGCTCAAACTTGCTCAATAAGCATAAACCTACATGCTTACACATGCAGTCATATTACTGGTAGTCTGGTAGAAAGAGGCAGTCTACACTTCTAGAACCAAAAAAAAAGAATTGATATATAAATGTAATACAAATTGTTATAGTTCATCAGCAAAAGCAAAGTTCCAACTTAAATATTGATACATGATAGCAATTTGAGCCAGGTGGCAATGGAGAAGCAACTTGGAGAATGACAGCCGTAAGCATCTAGTACATATCTAATTATTCCTTTCACAACTTCTACGAAAATTGGAGCCTTTCCTTTCTTGAGCTTTCAAAGATCCACCAATAAGAGTTTCAACGGACTATGAATGAAAATGGAACAAGCTTCTAAATTGTGAAATGCACCAAATCATGATCTGACCTGTTTGGGACATTATTTTTTCTGAATCTATCCTGCCAAAAAAATCTATGCATTTAAGGAAATTCCTATATCCTTCTTAGTTCTATTCTTCCGTCTATTTGATTAATCTCTACCTATATTCTTCAATTTTCAGCAGGAAAATATTGGCAAAAAAAAAAACCGATCAACTGTAATCAAAATTGTCAGACAGCAGACTGATAACCACATGATTTTTGCAGATCTAACAATGCAGAGATAGATTTTCCAACCTGTTGCCAGTAAAAACTCGTGAGGATGGAAATCAATGCTCTGGATTTGACCTTCATGACATTTGAACTCGTGCAAAAGCTTGCCCGCTGTTAAATCCCATAGCTGTATTTTAGGAAAAAGATAATTAGAGACTCAATATAAATGTATGCTAAATTGTTGTTGTGCAGCAAAAGATCTTACAAATTTAAGGCTTTAAACAATAACTCATATTAAAGTATAACAATACGGAAGAAGAAAAGGAAAACAAATAGTAAGAAAGTAAAATGGATGGAAATCAATGAATAAGGAAGAGAAGGAAAATGAAGATAGTAGGAAAATAGAATTGATACAAACAAATAAGGAATAAGAAAAGGAAAAGAAAACATTAAGAACTTGAAAACAATAAAAAAAAAAAAAAAAAAATATTCAATGACATGTACCGATATAAAACATTTAAAATGATGCATGTATCGATAACTTGAGTGAAGAGAGAATACTATAGGGACAGCAATTAAAATAAGGTAACTCCGAGAGAATCTCTATAGTTAGAAAAAACCTTGTTTTCACAATTCAATAATAGATTAATCACAACTAGAAAGGACGGAAATTAAGGGTAAAAACAAGAAGTCGAAGGAATTGACATATCTAACCTTCACGGTGTTGTCCTCACCACCAGATACAACCCATCGCCCATCAGGAGTAAATCTGATAGTATTAACACCTCGAGTATGACCCTTGTAAGTGTGTATACACCCTTTTCTTCGGATATCCCATATTTTTAGATTTGTGTCCAGAGATCCAGATGCAAAGAACTCTCCAAAGGGATGAAAGTCCAACGATATGCAATTTGATCGGTGACCGGTGAGGGTGCGAAGGACTATCAAAGACATGGAAAAAAGTCAAACACAACAAAGTTTTACTTTTTTATGTGCTTGCTAAATACAATTAGAAAAAATGGGTTTGCAGAAAGCTTACTCTTAGCCTCCTCTAAATCCCAAAGCTTAATGGTCCCACTAGCTGCTCCAGCAGCTACCAAAACCTCCGAAGAATCAAAGCTAACCGAATCAATTCCACTCGAATGACCCGACAAACTCTAATGCATTGAAAATATAAGAGGAAAATTCTAATTAGTTCCCTATCACAAATTCTAATTAGTTCCCTATCACAGATAAATTAGGAGAACATGAAAACAATAAAATGTAATGATATGCCGGTAGTATAAAGAAAACCAACAAAGGAATGATTCCCTCAAGCAACCCCAATTCAAAGCCTCCCTGGAAATGGGTAATGCAGTCTTAAATTATTAAACTGCTTTGACAAAAATCATTTTTGACATGGGAGGTACCAACAATTATGACACTTGTTCGAACCAAAAATAAGGCTCGACAGCATAGATTATAAAGCCACTAAAAAGAAAAGGCAAATTTGGATATAAACTAACCAGTATGGCATTGGGCTTGCCGATAGCCCAGAGATTGACCTTGTGATCTTCTCCTCCAGTGACTAGAACTCTTGATGATTTCCTCCCGATCTTTAGGCAGTTCACACTTGCAGAATGTGCTACAAATTCCTCTATAGCAATCATACTGTTAAGGATTCCAAATTAACATGTCATCTTTTATATTCTACTACTATTCCTTAAGCACATCTGTTTGCATTGCCACTAAGTGGTTGAAATTAAAGTTTATTATTGGACAGTAATCAGGGAGGTTGCTTATCATCAGTAGGCGTGTACCCAACATCCGTGCTTCTTTTGTTTTTTTGAATAATTGCATGGAGGTTCATTAGTCTATAGAAATCCAACAAATGCAGTTACTTCTTGATTCAGTTAATGGAATATATGCAATAATGCAGACTTTGGACCTCAATACTCTTGATAATCTTGTCATCATCCCTCAGAAACCAAGAGAACACATGCAAAAACTATCAATTTTAGTTAGCATTCATGTAGTCATAACTGATCACATCGTCATCACCTGTTCTACTTTAATATACTGCAAATCTCCACATGCAACTAATGCAAAATTTTGCATTTGATTAAAACTAGTACCTTGCAACAATTATCTAATGCAAACCAAGACAGATTTCCAATTTTTCATCAGAGGTTATTTTCCTTCTTTTTTAATGTTTTTGCGATTTTGCAACATGACGTCTATGCTTGCATAGTCTACCCAATCAGTTTCACCTAATCACAAAAGCATCAAACACATATTGTAGATGAACAAAAATACCTCATTTACACAATGAAAGAGGAAAAAAGTACTTGTAATGGAAATCACTTTCTCATACTATCAATCTCTAACAACGTGAAGTCACATTTTTTAGCTGACACTCCTGAATTTTTGCCCTAATTTCTATATGATGTGCTATTCATGCTCAAGCGGTATATTCACCAAATTAACACGCGCACACACACACGTAAAGTAATTCTTCTTCCACCGGATCCAACCAAAATTCACCACACAGCACTGCATTCCAGTTTCCAAATCTAATTCCATACCTAAATCTTAAAATGGGAAAAAAAAAAAAAAAAATATAAATTTTTAAAAGAAAATGGAGAATCGGGGAAATGGAGAGATAGCAGATGAAATTACTGGAAGTCATTTAAAAAAAAAAGGATACGTAGCTTATAAGCTCGTTTG